ATTCAAAAGCATCAATTCTTCTGCAGTCAGCTTTCTTTATGGTCCAGCTCTCACTTCCATACATCACTACAGGAAAAACCATAGCTTTGACTTTAGCTTATGCTCTGCCTCGTGGCGCAGTGGTTAAAACGCTGTACTGCAGCTAAAACTGTGCTCACGACCTGGGGTTCAAATCCCAGGTAGCCGGCTCAAGGTTGACTCAGCCTTCCGTCCTTCCGAGGTCGGTAAAATGAGTACCCAGCTTGCTGGGGGGGGCAATGTGTAGCCTGTATAATTAAATTGTAAACCGCACGGAGAGTGCTTGTAGCACTATGGGGCGATATATAAGTCCAAAAATAAATAAAATAAATAAATAAATAAATAAATCCTTTTCACATGTAACATTGCCAGGTCAGTTGTCACCCACCCAGTCTTAAGCATTTCTTCTTTCCTGCCTAAATATACCTTTGTTGAAATTTATTTTGTTTTGCTTTAGCTCAGTTTTCCAACCTGTTATGGCCATCTTGAATCCTAATTCTGTCTTCTGAAACATTAACTATCTCTCTTAGTTGGTGTCATTTGCAAATTTGGTGAGCAAGGTGTCAAGCATATACCCCAAAGCACTCACTCCTTCCATATTGTTATGTGTGTGTGAGATGGTGGTGGTCTGGATGATCTTGCCCTTTCAGGATCATTTACAGTCTTTATTCATACATTTATAGTTATTATATGGCAATAGAACAATGTTCAATTATTCAATCACATCTTATCCCCATTCCCTATCTTGTAGCATTTCAACCAGCAGATCACAACAGTTTGTCAGCAAGCAGGTGCTGTGTCAGTTTTTGGCATAAGCCCTACTGAGCCATGAATCTCACACAATGCCTCAGGTTTTCCTCATCCTGGTTACCCCACAGTATACTTATGAGACTAAAACAGAGCAGTAGAGCCTTGCTGTGTCATACATTTTAATTCCTTTATTGATGCCCATAAGCCACATATGTGAATAGCGAGTTTGATCACTCCTTTGAACACTGAGGTAAATAACTCTATTTTGTCAGCAATTGTGATAATGACTCTGGAGACAATTAGGTAAAGGAAGGGGGGGGGTCTAATGATTAGCTCCCATCTCCATTTTCTCTGCCTCCAGAAAGTGGGAGGGCCCTTTTTTTTCAACAAACAAACATTCTAAAATAACCATGTGGCTTTGTGGCAAACTTGGGAAGCTTCCTGCTCCTGGAAGATAGAGCTTCCAGTTGAGAGTGAGAGGAAGGAAGATAACAGGGCAAACTACATGTTACATACAAATGCACCTAACAAAAATCTATTTAGGAAAAAAAATGAAAAGCAATCTCAGGAGGTTGTGCTTTTGAGTAAAGGTATGACATATGAGAGAATTGATTATTCCCCTAAGGATTATTTTCTTGCTCATCCTCAAATTGCTTTCCAGATACATATTTTATAAAGGTAAATAATGCATTGGGAAACTCCAGTGGAAAAGAGAAGCCACTGGTGATTTTGTGTGTTAGAAAAAATGAAACATACCCATGTGTTCTAACATGAAAAAAGGCTGATGTGTAAATAACTTTATTGTTTAGAAGACATACAGTAGTGGGAAAACAGGAGGAGTTACAAATGGAAGATGTTATCATTTGAAACTCATATAAAAATTCCATGGATGAAACAGGATGTGTTTTTCATTATGGTTTGTGGCGTTCCTAGTAGGCAAAGGAGGAATGTCACATAGTTATAGTATTGGCTTGTATAGTGTCTCACCTTCTGTTGCAGGTGTTCAGCTAACAAACAGGCAGACAGACAAAGGAGATTGTACATTGAATCGCAGGCCCAAAACCTGTGGCATTCTTTGAAAGGAAAGCAGTAACTAAAAGTAAATATTTTAGTTGCCTGTGAAAACCAGGGGAAAGGTTTTCTTTAATTATAGCTTTCATAGTAATGAACTGCAAAATTTCAAACTTTTTATAACATTTGTTAGTATTTTTCTCAATAAATTTACCTCTGCACAACTCAACCCTTGATCTCTTGTTCTCTACCCTACCTACATTAAGAGGGTAGGTTTTCTGAGCAGAGACTTGTCTTTTGCAGCATAAAGCTCCAGGCATCTTGATGAGCCTACAGAAACAATGGCCAGGATCCAGCTGGTTTTCGCATAAGGTTTGTATAATTTGTCACAGCTACTTGTGGCTAACTGTCAATGTTCCAGGTTAAGTCTTGGTCATGTGCTTGGCCATATAACTGATTATGCAATCATGATGTACAATGGTACCTTGTCAATTAGCTATCATTGGCCATGGCAGTTTTCACTAACCTTATGCAAGCACCATAAAAAGGGACATGGTGGCGCTGCGGGTTAAACCACAGAAGCCTCTGTGCTGCAAGGTCAAAAGACCAACAGTCGTAAGATCGAATCCATGTGCCGGAGTGAGCTCCTGTCGCTTGTCCCAGCTCCTGTCAACCTAGCAGTTCGAAAGCATGTAAAAATGTGAGTAGATAAATAGATACTACCACGGTGGGAAGGTAACAGCGTTCCGTGTCTAGTCGCGTTGGCCACATGACCACGGAAATTATCTATGGACTAACGCTGGCTCTATGGCTTGGAAACAGGGATGAGCACCACACCCTAGAATCGGACACAACTGGACTAAATGTCAAGGGGAACCTTTACCTTTACAAGCCATGGCAGTTTTCACTAACCTTATGCAAGCACCAACAGGATTATGGCTAATAAAAGTAATTTTTTTAAAAAGGGGGAAGTATGATAATGGGTCAAGCCATGTGTGAAAGTTTTCTAGAGACTGTGTTATAACAACATCCAGGAGACCAAATCTTTGGAACCACTGGCTTGGTGTTTCTGTGGACACACCACCTTTCACTATCATGACCATTACATTCATTCTCAATGTGTCTTTCCTGAACATGGCCCAAGCAGTTTTCTACCCCAATCTCAAGCAAGGAAGGAGGAGTGTTTCCTAACACCGAGGTAGAAACCTTTGGACTTCCGCTTCCACTTTCTAGAGACATAGGTAGATCAGTCTGTTTCTGCAGCAGCAGAAACAGAACAACAAAAAAACAACTCAAGTACTGTACATTATATCCACAAACATTCACAGTGAAAATGTTTTAGTTTCAAAGATACAATACTTTTTGTTTTGTTTTGTTGGTTTGGTCTTCCAGATGTTTTGGATGCCCCAGAAGCACCGGCCAGAACAGCCAGTGGTAAAAGCTGTTCAAAGAAGTCATTAGCCCAAGGTCTTTGGGTGCAACTTTGTAGCTTTGCCACAGCCCATCTCAAACTGACAAAAGCTTCTTATTATTTGAGCAGGTAGGTTCATTTGGCTCATCGCTAATTACAAGGATGGCAAACTGGCTTTTCTAGGATAATCCCTTCTGAAGTGATACAATCTAGTTTCATCTTTAACACCAAACCCCAGAGGGGACATCTCTCTCCATGCCCATGTTCTCCTTACTAAGGAGAGAATTTACAAAGATTCCCACTAAGCAAAGCCAAGGATTATAATGTCAAAGAGAAAGGGTGGAATTATTAGTTTGGCATGGCAATTAAAAAAAATCAAAGGATCAACCACAGCAAAATATTAAAAGCAAATAAGGTCTGAGGAATACCATTGCAGAACATATGGGATCTGTGAAATCTGGATAGTACATGCAATTAAAACAATAATTTCATGTCTTACCCATGGTAGACTTTCATTTAAGGTTCAGTGTCATATTCAGTCAAGAAAAAATATATATCTAGTTGTCTTCTCAGTCCTTCCATCATTCCTGACTTTAGAGCAGCCATCAGCATAATTCAAGTGACTATATTTGTCTGGTTTTGGAGTACAGAGGTTTTGGAAAGAGATGGAATTCCATCTCAAAATCATCTGATTATATGAAGGCCATGGGGCTAGAAGCCATGTAAATATTTTCTAAATAAACCTATATTTATTGACAGCTTCAATTTTTGGAGCACATCGGCTGTCTTCACTCTTGGGCTATAGTATTTCTGGGCCAGAGATTTCATGGGTTCATTTATGTATGTAACTTTGCCATGAGCTGTTCCACTGGTTTAACCAGAAGAAAGGGAGTCTGTGGGAGAGAATTTGACTCGGAATGACAGAAGATTGCATCATGCGGAGTGCAGTAAATATAGAGGAAGATAATCATCTTCCAAATCACAGAATAGAACCAATTATCCTCAAGTCATAGCCTAGGGATAATTTTTATGGGATCAAAATTTTAAAAATCCCTATTAAAGCAATACTTTTATTAGGCCAAGCCAATTATTAGGCTCTTTTCAGCCCCATTTGTTGTTGATATGTGTCGCCAAATTGAAAAACAACGTGATGACTTAGAGTGACCCAAGAGGGCTGTCAAGGTAAGTGAGATATATAAGGAGTGGCTTTGCTGATCCTTCTCCCCCAGTGAGTCTCCATGCCTGAGTGAGAATTTGAACGAAGACCTACCTGAGTCCTAATGTATTGCTCTATACTACACTGGGTACCCTTATGTATCTCATAGGGTTGTTGTAAAGATAAAATGAAAAGGAGGTGAACCAAGTCTGCCTCCCTGAACCTGGATGAGGAAAGGTGAGAAACAAAACAAACAAATGGCAGAATTAGACAAGGTGCCAGCATCCAGCATCACAGATAGGAGGTAAAATTTTTCCCATCAGAGGCTTCATTCTGGCAAACACTTGTGCCTCAGCAACCATGCTTGCAAATGAAGCCTGTATATACTTCCTAGCAACTAACCACAGAATAGAAGCAAGCTAATTTGCAACTTGTGGAGCTGAGCAACCTTGCACTAAGATAAACAAATGCATTCAACTTTCTAAAGAGCGCCACTTCTAATGACTTGCTAACTTTGTTTGACCCAAACATAAAATACAGATTTTTCAGAGTTGTGGAAAAGTCAGCAATACCTGTGTTTCTGCCTGTCTATTCTTCACCGCCCGCCCCCCCAACTCATACCATTATGGCCATCATGAAATGTAGTTATCTTACCTTCATCTGAGATGAGGACAAAGCTGAATGTGGGTAAGAGGACGAACAGAACAAGCAGGGGAAATGGCCTCACTGAGCACGGACGTATCACCATCCTATTGGGGCTAGAGTACATCCAGGACTAGAGCTGGGTCAGAGGTTTGTACCTTTGAACAGGTGGTGCTGATGACATGGACTGGCAGAAGAGTGGACTCTTGCAAGGCGGCAGCAGCAGACTGCCCGCTTTGGGTGCCCATGAAGGAAGCAACCAGCCCTCCAGCTCCGAAACTTTGTTACTGGACCTCTGCAGGGAAAACTAATCTGGAAAATGCCAGCCCAGCAGCTGCTCAGGAAGCCTGACTAAAAACCTCCTCCAGCCCCAGCCCCACCACTTCCCCAGCTCTAAACCACTAAGCCATGGTCTGTGCGGGTGGGAGACCCTTGCCTGAAGGCTGCTTTGATCAGATAGGCAGAATGTCCTGCCCTTGTGGTGGTGTCTTGGAGGACAAAGCCTTTGGTCAGGAAGCAAACATCCCTGTCCCTGTGGAGGGTGGTGCAGAGGCTCTGGGGGCAGGGGCTGTTCTTAAAAACAGATGCAGTCCATAAACATTCTGAAGGGCTGATGGCAGGCCTAATTTTGTATTGGTGGAGGAAGGGTGTTGTTTTCCCTTGCCCTGATATACTGACCTCTTTGTCAAGATAGCCAACGGCATGGGAAGGTTCTCTTTTTTTGGACGATGGCTCCCAGAATCCCCAGACAGCGTGGCCATCTGTCTTGGCGGATTTTGGGAGCCATAGTACAAAGAGAGAGAGAGAGGGGTTTTCCAGAGCTTCTTCTCTTATTATCAGGAGTTCAAATGTGAAGTGAAGCAAGCAGAGATGGTTCTGTTTGTACTTGCTCTGTAGAGAGTCTGCAGCCAAGTTCTCAAGAGAATTCCTAGGCAGTTGTTCCTGGAAGTCCTAGATAAAAGATTAAAATGACATTGACATACTGTATATCCATAAACTATTAATATGATCTGGAGGGACGAGTTACCAATCTCCTGCAAAGAGGAGTAGACAGAAGGTAGCTCTAGATCCAGATTCAGAGCCTCGTGGCGCAGTGGTTAAAACGCTGTACTGCAGCTAAAACTGTGCTCACGACCTGGGGTTCAAATCCCAGGTAGCCGGCTCAAGGTTGACTCAGCCTTCCATCCTTCCGAGGTCGGTAAAATGAGTACCCAGCTTGCTGGGGGGGCAATGTGTAGCCTGTATAATTAAAATTGTAAACCGCCCGGAGAGTGCTTGTAGCACTATGGGGCGGTATATAAGTCCAATAAATAAATAAATAAATAAGATAAATTCAGCAGGAATAGGAAGAAAGTAAATCTAGATCAAGTGTTATGTTTCTTTTGATAAGTTGCAGGGAATTAGAAAGGATTTTTAGTTCCTGGTTTTTTTAACAAGACCAGCAAACACCATTTACACCCCTAGCTTGCCCTCATCCTTTGCCTTAAACTACAGTATATTGCTGAACTGAAGAAAGTTTGGGGCAACCCTGAGTGGACTTTTAAGAGGAACAACGACAAGCATTGCTTAGCTATGATAATAGATTTAGAAGCTAAGAATTCCTTCATTCTACATACCATTTGCTTCTGAAACTAGCTGGTACCAGATCTCACAGTTCTAATACAAAGCAAAGGAAATTCCATGAGCTTAATATCTTCTCAGCCCTAACCCATGGGCAGTAGATGGCAGCTGGGAGGACCATCCTTTAAGTATTCCACCACAAGAGGTAACTGAAGGAACTGATTGCTAAAGTTAGGGGTGTGGACTGCATTTCCTTCTTCTGACTAAAATAAAATGAGTAGGTTATGCACACTTAATAAGCAGCTCACAGCTCATCTCCCCTTCTTAGAGTAAAGTCCACCTGTTGCTATAGGCAGGGCTGCTAGGAGGACAATAATTGCTAAGGTTGCTAACCAAAGAAGGGGTTGATTGCAAACTCTCACCAGGTGTGACAGAGCTAGGTGACAAACCAAAGATCAAACCTAGGAGACCTGTGTCGGTGCAAATAATGGTGTGAATGGGAGACCGAAGCATTTTTAATGCAAGTTTCCCGGGTATGAGGAAATGCATGGCAGATTTTGATACCAAGCATGAAGAAACCATAGACAAGTCAAGAACAAAACAAATAGCAAACATTTATAAAAGCACTAAGACAACGGCCTTGCAATTTAGGGGAAGAGGGACAGGCAGCAGTATTATTATCATCACCCCTGCCAATGGATCAGAGCCTGTGGTTTCGTTTTTATGATGGGATTTCATGAGGCAGTTCTCTGGGGCCCAAGGCCTTACCAAAGGCAAATATTTAGTCCATAGTTTCATTCAAAAAATTAAAGAGAAAAAAGTCATTTTCAAAAACTCTGGCTGAAATGCTTTGCTTGGTGAAGTCACACTAGAGTAGACCCACTAATCAACTGGGATTTAGTGAGTCATCTTCTCTGTATTCCATTGATTCAAGTGGGTCTACTCTATCTGTAACTTACTACACAGAAGTAAGTCATGACTAGAGTAGGCACATTTGAATTAATGGAACTTATGGAGGAATTGGCTCACCAAATTCCTATTGATTAGTGTAACATATTACAATCGTATGTCTGAGGAAGTGGACTGGTCCACGAAAGCTTAGTAGTCACATTCTTGACATCATGTCTGCTGACTGCTTTTTCCACCCACAGCATCTGCACATGCACCATGAATACCTATGCCATGGAGCACAATGCCTTTTTGTGTCTGCCTATATATGTGGGCACCAATTGTTCTTCCAGCAGTTCATGCTGTATGCATAGAAGTCAAGAGGTGGGCTAAGTTAGCATGTGTGGTTTTGGAGGCTTGCTTACTTGATCCATGCAGCTCATGTTGTTGCTATAGTTTCTGCATGGATGTGGTAACTTCTAATTGGGTCCATTACTCCATTTCACAAAGCTTTTTACACTTCTTTTATTAGGCAGAAATCTGAGACAAAACCAGCTTAGAATTGCTAGAGGCATAAACAGTCACATATAGTCCACTTTTGCATCTCTCTCTGTAGCATATATTATATGAGATGTACGGTAATCCTAGCAAAATCTTGATACAACAGAAGAAATGATCCCAGGGGAGAAACTGCAACAGCACTTGTTCTGTGGCTCTTCTCCTAAGGTTTCTTATTTTAATACAATGGCCATAGTTCCCTCCAAGGCAGCATCCATTTCATCATTTTGATTTCTGACTGCCACGTTCCTTCTTTCCCACCAACCACTCATGCTTGTTCAGTATCATTCTCAAAAAATCAGAGGCTTTAAATCTACAGGCTATCCCATGGCAATCCCTGTCTAGTGTTCTGCCTGGCAAGGGAATTATAATTTTGTTGTGATCTTGGTGCGAAAGCCTCAGTTTGGCAAGATATTCCTGTGTTGTTAGGGAACTGCTTTGTACTAAGTCAAAGTATTTGTTCAGTATTGCGCAGTATTGTGCACTCTGGCAGGCAGCTGCTTTCCCAAGTCTTTCCCATCACTTGTTAGCTCATCCTTTTGACTGAAGATCAAGCTACAGACTGAACCTAGGGCCTACGCAATGAGCCTGCTGAGCTGTACTCTCTCTGGTACTGTAACAAGCTGTTTGCCTGTACTGTACATGAGAGCCTAAGCAGAGCCCTAAGGGGTTAGACTATCGGTTCATCTTGTCTGGTACTATGTTCCATTTGTGTGAATACATGACATATACCTAATAGCCTGCTGGAAAGGCAGCAGGGAGAAACTACATAACAGGAAGAAAAAGAAGAGAAGGGAAAGAGGGGAATTTACTTCTCAGGCAGAAGAACATTCAAGAGGAATTACAGCTCAAAACCACTGTATGAAAAGTTACTTTTCTGAACTGTAGCTCCAAGCCAGTTTAGCATTGTTTTTCAGTGGGAGAGAATCCCCTTGAGAGCAGTTCAATGGGAGACATAGGGCAGATCACATGGTCCACAGTGTTCTGTCCTCCTTGCCACAATTCTCCACTTTCCCCAAAGTTTGCTGCCTGGGAAGGATAACTCATTCTGCCTAATGGCAGAATGTATTATGTATGTATTATGTACATGCCAGAGAAAATGGGGATTCTTCATTTCCTGAACAAGGCACTGCCTGGTTCTTCTCAGCTCATCTCTGTGCTGAATTCTGAGACCAACAGGCACTTTGGTCTCCGTATGAGTTGAAGATACTGTACACGTCCAGCTCGTTTGCTCCATTCATGCACGTCCCATGTTGTCCATCTTGAGGGGAGGTTGGAGATTGCATGGGCAGCTTGAAGGCTCTCCATGCTGTTTGTAGACAGAGGGTGGGAGCAGTAATATGGGTCAGTCAATGCTACAGAATGGGAGGACACAATGCAGATCAGATCCTAGCACATTTCATAACCGTGTGCCACCTCGGTGATCCTTTCGCCTCCTTTCAACACAAGACAGTCTTGGTTATTCATCATGCAAACAGTCCTTTCATTGTGGTTAGGGAAGGAGTAGTTGGCACGAGAACTATGTTCATGTGAGATCCTCTAGATTAGCAGTTTCCAGGTATGCTCTATGCTCAGCACAGTCTGCATAATAAGATAGTGGAATATGTACAGAAAGCTCCTGTCTCCTGTGGATCCTACTTGTGCCTAGAGGTGGAAAGGTTCAATGCTCTGGCCTGTCATGCCTCCTCTGCTGTGGCATCGATCCCTGCATAGGTGAAGTTTTCAAACAATGCCATGTTCACATAGGCCTGTCAAAAGAAAAAGAAAACCAGAATGAAGTTTCAGACCTAATAAATATTTGGCTCCCTTTCCACCTCCTTTCCTTTTTGTGCACATTTTCCCTCTGTGCTCTGATTAGAAAAGGGAAAGTAATGCAAGCCCATATTTCAGCCTACCACCATGACCTTGCCCAGAGAAAGTTCCATTGTAATATCTCAAAAGAATTTCCTGGCATAGGACCCAGCTCTTTATAATCTCTAAGGACCACCTGCATCCTGCTTTAGTGAGGGAACTGGAGACCCTGCAGCCAAACCAAGCGTCTTCCTTAGCGATAGGGCACAAATGAAGGCATCCTAGTAGTAATCCTGGCCTATGTTGACTGGTTATATAAACACAGAATCTAAGATGAGGAATGGTTTTGCGTGTACACAAAGCACATCAGGCATCGTCCCCTACAATGGTACCTTCCTAGCCTCCAACATGCGGATGAGTTGCACGGAGATCTGAGCAAAGGGTGGACGCTCATAGGGCCGGTCCCGCCAGCACTGTCGCATTAGCTCATACCTGCATGAGAAGACAAGAAGTCAGAGGCAAGCAAACATAGGAGGGCAGAGAAGTTGCCAGGAACATAGGAAAAGGGCCTACTTATTCACATCCCTTTACCTCTTTCAGGAGAGGAAAGAGTGGATGAAGAAAAGGATGCACTTCTTCACATATGACATTCAAATGCACCAGTGCTCACCTGCTTGGATATCGTTAAAAGAAATCAGACCAATTCAAGGAGAATTAAACTTTGGTCTAGATGGGCAGGGTATGTATGTATGTATGTATGTATGTACGTACGTACGTACGTACGTACGTACGAACGAACGAACAAACAAACAAACAAACAAACAAACAAATAAATAAGCAAGCCATTAATGAATATGAGTTATGATAGCAATATGTCACGCCTAGCATTTGAGGCATTGTGCCTCTGTACCTGCTGAGGAACACGAGTGGTAAAGAGACTTGTTTCACTCTTGTGCAGTTTATAGGCTTCTCATAGGCAACTGGCTGTGCAAACAGAATGCTGGATAAGGTAGTTCTGTGCCCTGATTCTATAGGACTTCCTTTAGAGACTCTTAGGAGGCAGAGACAGATGGTGATGGTGGTGGTGGGGTTCCTCCTAATCCTACAAGGTCGGAATGAGGCACCCACCCTCTTCCTTGAACTATGAGCTTGTACTTACACTTCATCATCACAGTTGAGGGGCTTTTCCATGCGGTATCCTTGGGGCAGCTTTTCATAGAGTTCAGCACATGTCATGCCACAGTACGGTGTTCCCCCTAAGCAATGGAAACCACATCAGATGAAAGAACACCACACTCACTAGGATCCAATGTGTCTCTCCACCCCCTCCCTCTCCTTTAGTGAAAGATGTAGCTAGATCGGAAGTGGGATGCTAGCATGCCTGAAGTGCACTGAATAGGTTTTCCCAGAATTACTATGCTAATTCGGGGATTCTAATAGCTGTAATTCAAGAAAGTAACTATTCAAAGTTCTGTCCTGACCACAAGTGAAGGTTCTTATCTTTACTATTCTGCTAGGCTTGCTGGGCTCAGAGATGTTTCTGTTGCTGTAACAAAACAAGTGTTAGGTCACTCTGATGCCACAGGCAGAAAATAGAGAGAGAACAACAAATAGTACAAAACAATGTGAGGCCCAAATGGGTTGCAATGTAATAAAGGACAATGAGGACAAGAAGTCCAGTCTGTTCCCGCTAGATAGGAACTTACCCAGGCTGACAATTTCCCACAAGAGGACCCCAAATGACCACCTGCAAGAAAAAGATAAGTCAGGATGTGGGTTGAGGTCCATCAACGCACTCAACTCTGCTTTAGGACATGTTCATTTTTGAAGGTTATTTTGGGTTCTGTCCTGTTTCTCTAATGCCATATGAAAAGGAAATTTTCAAGTCAGTAGCTTATGCTTATTAACTGTTATTTTATACTTACTTCAATATCTCAAAAGACTTCAGGTTTTATTTTCTGGCATTATTCACATTTAGTTTAGTTTAATAGACTGTTTAAAAAGGCAAAACACAGCTAACTGCTTTTCTGTGGACATTTCTTGTTATGTTGTTTTTCTTTGTTGCTAATCTGGAAAAGGGGTAAGTAGTTGTGTAAAGGACCAAAATACCAGGCATTGCTCCCTCAATCATGTACATGAGTCACTCACACATCACTCTTGGTTGTGTATACACTGTAATTCAAGGATTCGATGGCCATCCACCGAACTGGCAAGCGGCCCTGGGAAAAACAACAACAATAAGAGACACCATTAAATGAACAGAAACCCATTTGGGGTTGAAGAGAAAACAAGCTAGAGCATTATACTACTCAATGAAATATGAAAAACATGGGGAAGGCATGTACAGAGATACTTTAAGAGGCCCAATTTGATTCTGGAGTGACTCTTCATCCAGACCTACCATAGTCTTCTTTACATATACCTCCTCCCCTCTGGACAAGCCAAAATCAGCAATCTTTGAAGTCAAGTTTTCCCCCACTAGGATATTTCTGGCAGCCAGGTCTCTATGGATAAACTAGAAAGAAAAAAGAGAGCAACTCAGCTAGTGGAAGTGATGACCTCAAGGCTCTCAACCAATCCAATCACTGACAGCCATGTTACTACCATGCACAAAATATAGTATCCATGTGACATCTGAGCCAGAAATGTCTCATGAGCTACTTTGGCAAATCAAAATCATCTGTAAACTCCAAATAGCAACTTATATTCCATCTCCTATAGTGCTTCAGTATTGAGTGGACTTTACTAAAACCTGAAAAAGGTGTTGTGTTGGACTACAGTTCCCAGAATCCTGCAGTCAACATAGGCCACTGGTAGGTACTTGGAGTAATAATCCAAGAAGTCACTTTTTAAAACCCTGCTCCTGACTCAGAGGCTGGTGACATGGGCTACTTAGCCTGTTGTTTGGAGCACTGCAGGGAGGGAATGGTGCACGCTTAAAGATGGCAATCAGATGATGTCTTTGCTAGAGCGCACCAGAGTGTGCCCACCCTCAACATTCTGGCCCCTGGCAAGGGGCTTCTACTTTTTTTGTGGGTAGGATTATTCTGGTTTGGATCAGTTCCAGCACATGTGATCATTGGAACCAACCCAAAGTAAGCCTTCATCTTTCAATTTGCCAATTGTGAAGTGGTTTAATAAGCAAGCCATTTTAGGATATTGGCAGATTAATCACTTCTCCTACTCAGCAGAGGGCAGGGAAAGTGAAAAAAATATTGGATTGTATGTAGAGTATTGCTGATGCACTGCGTCAGTTTAAAAAAAAATCAAAGAGAAATCTTTGCCTTGCCTTGCCTTGCAGGGCTGGTTGAGAAAACACCCACAGTTGAATCCATGGCAATGGTTTCAGCTGCAGGCAGTTTCTTGACCAGCCCTTTCAAAGAAGGTATCATCATCATCACTGCCTTTTTTCCTTTTAACCTAAGATGACTTAGCTTTTAAAAAAAGGGGGAAAAAGAGTTCGTAACTCGAATCTAAGTTCATAAGTCGAGTCCATATATTCCTATGAGAGTGGTTCCTAAGTCGAAACGTTCGTATGTCGAGCCGTTCGTAAATCGAGACCCCACTGTATCATCATCATCACTGATGCAGCACATCAACAATAGTTTATATACAGTTAAAAATTTTTTTTACACTTCCCCTGACCTCTGCAAGACAGGAGAAGTGATTGTTTAGCCCAGTGGTTCTTAACCTTTGTTACTCGGATGTTTTTGAACTGCAACTCCCAGAAACCCCAGCCAGCACAGTTGGTGGTGATGGCTTCTGGGAGTTGCAGTCCAAAACTCCTGAGTAACCCAAGGTTAAGAACCAGTGGTTTAGCCAATATCCTGAAATGGTTCACTTATTAAGCCACTTCACAATATTAGCAGGAGCCATTTCTTTGTGGTTAGGCTTGATTAGCACATTCTAATCAAGCCTGACTATTCCCAAGGGGCCCCGCTAGCTGGCTTCCTGCTGCTATTGTAGCCATACTCTGAGTCATATTGAAATCTGGTTGCTCCCAGCTCTACCTATATGCCTGTAATTCCAGAGTCACTGTTAGTGTTATAGCCCTGGGGAATCAGTCTTTAGCGTGATGACAGAACTGCAGTTTTTGTAAATGCAGCTGAATAATACCAAATGCACAATGTTTTGAGCTCTTCCCTTTCCAGACTTTCTTGCTGATCCCTACAAAAAAGACAATGTGTGGGCCCAGCCAATGAGAAAACAAGGCAAGGTGAATATACGGACCTGTTTTTCACTCAAATACTGCATGCCTTTGGCCACATCAGATGCAAACTGCAAGAGCTGCTGGGATGTGAGGGTTGAGGCTGTTCCATGCTCTCTGGCAAAGGCAGGATCTGTTTCTAGGACTCGACTCTTGCGCAGGAAATCCAGCAAGTTCCCATAGGGTGCATATTCAATAGCAATGTACAAGTAGCCTGGTAGATTGGGAGAGAAACTGTCAGGTGGGCTAACTGTCAGCTCCACGTAACAGTGAAGTGCTGATGAAAGTGGAGAAAAGGAATAGAGACGTGAAAACCCTCAATTATGGAAAGATGGTAAGGCATGTGATATTGCTTCTCTCTGCAAGTGCTGACAGAGAAAGTGAAATGCACATTGCCATGTATGTACAAGTAGCCTGGTAGATTGGGAGAGAAACTGTCAGGTGGGCTAACTGTCAGCTCCACGTAACAGTGAAGTGCTGATGAAAGTGGAGAAAAGGAATAGAGACGTGAAAACCCTCAGTTATGGAAAGATGGTAAGGCATGTGATATTGCTTCTCTCTGCAAATGCTGACAGAGAAAGTGAAAAGCACATTGCCATGTAAGAGGGGATGTCAGCCATGGAATGCTTTAGGTTATGTCCGCCACCAGGTGGTGCCAGCATTTGACCAGCATACAAGCCCAGAAAGAGACGGTAAAGATAGCCTGTAATTAAAGCTGAAAGCACGTTGGTGTTGTAGAGAGGTGACTGAGGCAGTCTTTCCATGTTTGTGAAATCAGACTAAACAGGAATCCCATGTTTACATTCCAAAGACCAATAGCAGAACAAAACTAACTAATGTGCACAATTTGAGAAGTCAAAAAAATATCATATGACACTGAGATGCTCATAATAGTTATGCACGCCTCTCTCCCAGTCACGGGCTGTCTCTAGCATCTATTTCGGACTCAGAATGTTGAGGTGGAGAATGAGGTGTGGAAGAGGCAGAGCAACCGTGGATAAATGACCGTGCATCACTAGCTCTCACCTTTGTTCTCACAGGCACCCAGCAAGTTGATGATATTGGGATGGTGGCCCAGCTTGCAGAGAACCTCCAGCTCTCCAGCAAAGTCCCGGTGATCATTCTCAGAGGCAAATTCTGAAATACAAATGGGGATGCCAGAGCTGTAGCGCTTGGCCAGGAAAGGGAGGTCAGGGAGGAACCCAGCAGGGAAACATTCCTGAGCAGAAATGGGGGACAGGTGCTGTCTGCTCTTCACATATTTGTTGGTGGCAAGCCGATGTCAGCTCAGTTGCTGTTGTGCATGATGAGGACATGCAAGCCAGTCTAACATTCTGCTGTGTGGTTATGTGTGTGTGCATCATTCTAGATGTAACGGAAAACACACATTGCTGCATATGTTACAGGTTTGTTGTTGTGATGTGCTTTCAAGTCACTTCCAGCTTTTGATGCCACTATAAATTAGTAGCCTCCAAAAGACCCTGTCATTAACAGCTCAGGTCTTGCAAACTACAGGCTGTACTGTAGCTTCTTTTATAAACTAAGTCTACCTCATGTTAGATCTTCTTTTTTCCTGTCATTTTCAATTTTTTTCTAGCATTATGCAACACATTTTATGAATGTGTAAGCCTGTAACAATAAAGGATATAAGCATATCAAAAATACTGTAAGGCACGAAGTGACAGTGAGTATCTTTAACCATAGCTCAGAGACAGGGCTACTGTGTGATACAAATCCTAGATTTAACCTCTGACAGGAAAACTCATGTATGAAAGCCACTGTTGGTCAGAGCGAATAATGCTGAACTAAACTAACAGTATCTGCCACCTGACATGTTAGAAAGCACCTTCTTATCTTATCCTGCCTACCATTTTTTCCTCTTTAATCCTGAAGGCTGGACTAGAAGATGGCCTTGACATTATGAACACAGAAAGGTTTAGGGAGTGTCGGTTTCAATAATTCTGTACATTCAAGTTTTGGACATCACACAGCACCGAATGCGTGGCAAAAAAAATGGAAAGCAATTGCTTGGAAATGACATTCTAACTTTATTGGATGCAGGTGAATGGACTTTCTTCTGTGACTTTCTTCTAAGAGGCATGTTCTCACTACAAACATCATCAGTTCTGTTATGACATGGTTTCCCTCTCCAAATATATACAGTATATATATTTGGCACTGGGGCATCCACTACACACCCTGAGTAATAGTTAATTGTCTTGGACACTAAAGAAAGTATGTGTGTGTGTGCATCTGCTGGTCTGTGCAGGCTTCACCATCACCAGGAGGGAGGAGAACAGGAGTTGTCCCTGCAGCTGGACCAGGGAGGAAAAGGATGATGGTTTGCCTGGGCCTAGCCTCTGTGTCAGTTTGGGCCACTTCAGTGCTTCCCAACCTAGATGCTGCTGGACTTAGGTTCCCAAAAGCTCTAACCAGCAAGGCCAAGGGTGAAGGATTCTGGAAGCTGTAGCATAACAATTTCTGTTATGTGACAGCTCTCAGGCCTGGAACTTTGAAACTGCTGGTTTGGTATTTATGTGGGACATCCCACCTTTCAGCATCTTGATGGCTGCATTCATTCTGAGTCCGTCTTTCTTGATCATGGCCCGGATGACTTGCCCGAAGTTTCCTTCCCCTATCATGTCCTCAAACTTGATGTCTTCCCACTCCAGGATAGGATAGCTGAGGTGCTCAGGCTGTGGTTTGGGTCGGCGTGTCAGGGTTAGTGTGCCTGAGTTGAACTGCAGGATGGTCTCTTCACCCTGTAAGAGAGAGGTTTTGTGGAGAGGAGGTTTGGCAGCAGCACTGGGCACTGGCATTGCCAAAAGGTGCCTGCTGAAAGGCGGGGATGCAGAAGGTAGAGAACCAAGAGGAGAGGAGAAGCAGCGATGGGCTGGGTCAGGGGCACCATCACTCACAGAGCCGGACTGGTAGGTGAATGTGCGGCGCCGGTGAAAGAAGTTCTTCTTGATGAGGAAAAGGGCCAGGAGGGCAAGCAAGATAGTCACGCAGGTGACAGAGACAGAACCCACAATGGCCAAGAGCAGCTGCTGGTCCACATTGGATGGAGGCAAATTCTTGCTGTCCAGGGTGGGCACTTGAATCAGGGCTCCTGCAGGGGAAGAAAAAAGTAGGAGGAGATGGCAAATGCACAGGGCACAGTACTTCCTGCCTTTTTTATGCAGTCATCCTGCCTCATTTGCAGAGTTATATTGGGGTCCAGATGGTGACTTATTCAATTCTTAGCCTTCCTGTACTTTCCTACCTCTTCTAGAGCTTCAAAGTGTTATTTTTTTATGACAACAATTCCCAGAATCCTCTGGTGATCATGTTGCCTGGAGATTCTGGAGCTGCAATCCCAAAAAGGAATTTCCTTAAGCTCTGCTTAACCCTGTTAAGGAGAGAAAGATGCCACGGTCCTACAATTGATCTTGGTTGATAACACAGCCAGCCATTTCACAGCACCTGCAGAACCGCCGGCATCAACTCTAACTTTTCTACCTCCAGGATGAGTAGATGCCATGGGATGGATTGATGGCCCCAGCAGTTGCTGCTTCTGCCTGCGTCCTGGTTATCCTATGTGTTGATAGTACACTGTGCTGTCAGAGAGAGGATGGCTAATTCATGCCACCGCCTTTCCCCTTCTCGTGCGCACCCTACCCACCACACTGACTCAGACATCTCACTCCTATCTGCCTCCTTATCAGAAGAAGAAGACTTCTATATGTGTTCATGGATAAATGTCTGCCTGCTTGTCTGTCTACATTTTGGCACATGTATGCCTATGCATGTGTATGAATATTAGCCTTTTGCCCCAGCAATGCCCACTGATGTTTACTCTGTCTTTCACCCCACCAACCAGAATGGGCATCAGCCACTACTGCAGCACTCAGGGATGTTGGCAAATCTTTGCTGCCAGGGATGGGGACTCGAGTTGCGTGACTCGCTGTAAAGTCGGATTTAAATCACACTGGCTACTTGACTTGGGCTCGACTCAGTTTTTGGGTCCAAGTCCCAAGTCTGAATCCGAGTCTTTGGTACCAAGTCCCACATCCCAAGCCTGAGTCCCTATTACAAACAAGCTTTTTTCCCCAGAAAAAAAAGGAAGGGGTGGATGGGTTCTGAGTTACAAGTTGAGTCTGAGTCATGGGGGGGGGGAACTGAGTTGAGTCCAGGTCAAGTCTCCAGTGTGACTTAAGTCTGACTTGACAGCGAATCCCGTCACTTGATTCCGCGCTCCTGGCAGCACCCACTTGGTGTTCACTCACCATCACCCAGGATCTCGGCTTTCACGGGTTTGCTCCACTCGCCGGGTACGTATGAGTTGGCTCGCACCCGGAACTGGTAAGATGTGCTGCCGTTGAGCCCAGAGATGATCTTTGTGGTATCCCTGCCATTTTCTGTGTCCATCCACTGTGGTTCATTGTTCCCTCCCAACTGCTGCACTTCTACAATGTACTTGATGATGCCACCATTGGGATATTCAGGGGGCAGCCACACCAGCCGGATGGTGTTGTCAGAGAGTGGTTCCACAGAGAGGGAACGTGGGGAAGACGGGCCTGTGGGGCAAGGCGTTTAGCACTGTTAGGTTTCAAATCGCTACCTGGAAGGTAGACTACACCAAGGTGGACAAAGTATTCTGGAATTTCTGAAGCACACCACATCCTGTTGTTCTTTCTCAGGCCTATCACGTTGTTTGGAAAAATCGAGGAATTGAAGGTAAGTTGCTTAGCTTCCCCTGCAACACATGCTAACAATCCTTCCTTGGGAGCTTAGAGAAATTCAGCACCACACGGTTCCAGGTGACCCCAGAGGAAGGGAATGTAAGCTGCTTCTGTGTATTCTGTACCTTAAAAAACCCTGAAGAGGGTCCCCATAAGATGGAGTTGACTTGGCTGTATGCAACAACAGCGACAACAATTTGAAAAGAAGAACTGTAAGCGGTGTTGTAGTAGAGCCAGAACTGACTGGATTAGCAGGGACACTGAAAATATCTGCCATCATAAGCTTTCCTATCCTTTTTTGAGTTTAATTTACAGTATTTTTTTTTGGTAGCTGAAGGAAAAGTTCCCATAAACAGCTACATATTGTTTTGACCAATACCTCCTCCTCTTTCTCCTCTTCCTTATTTTAGAACTGCAGAACTGGAAGGGATCCTGTGGATCATGGAGTCCAGCCTCTGTGAAGAAGGCACAGTGGGGAGCTGAACTCCCAACATCTGGCTCCACAGCCAGAGACCTAAACCACTGAGTTACCCAGCAGTCTCTGTTGTAATCCAAGATACTTGTGACCACTTGCTCCTTAATGAGCAGTTAAGACCCATTAGCTTTACAAAAGACATGCTCCTAGTGGAGATAAAATCTGCATAGTAGGGAGCATTTAGAATTAATAGTATATTGTGCGATACAATGGGGAAGTTGAGGTTTTAGATCCATCTATCACACAACAAAGGGGCTAACCAGGGCATTACAAAGCATTGAAGAACCCAGATCCAACTGGAACTTTCCAAGTATGGTAGATATTCATCTTCAAATAGAAGGGTGCTGAATGTCTCTATCTCAGAGGCAAATTTTCTCCCAAACAATGGCATATCCTACTTGCTCACCTTTGCTGTTGATCTTGACCATGTGGAGATCAGACGGTGGCCCCAGACTGGAACAGTGGTAGACCACCACTTCCAGGTAATACTCCTTTTTAAACTTAAGATTTGGAATATAGGCAGACTGCACAATCATGGAAGTGATGTTCTCCTGATGTACAAGCTCTTTGGCTGCATCATAGAGCCGGACAAGAAAACCGGAGCCCACAGTGTTACTATTTGGCAAATTCCAATTCACACGCAGATTGTTGCTGCCTTCATCAAACGAACCTTCAATCACAGGCTTGGCCGTTGGCTCTGTGTGAAACAGGGAACTCATCAGCTTGGCTCTGTTGCCAGCAGCACCTGGAGACTAGTCTTGCTCCTTAACATTTAGTGACAATAATAAGTCAGATGTTGCAAGAAAGATCTGCCTTGTTGGACCTCTTTTCCTTTGTTCTTTTAAGTAGATTCTCAGGTCCACCCATCAGAGTATGCTGCAAAATAGTCAGGCAGGAAACTGGTCTGCCCGGGAGATCCTCAGAGTACACAATCAGCCAAGGGAATTTGTGATCAGTAGCACCGGAATCCAATTCAAAAGAATGTGAACATGAAAATCTCCTCCTGGCTTCCTGCTAAGAATTCTTCTTCAGCAATTTAGTTTAGGGAACTAGGGAAAGCTTTTAAGTTGCTGCAATTGTTAAACAATAATGTGTCTGTGTGTATGGTTTATAGAAGGCAAGCACCAGATATATACAGAGCTCTGAGTATAGCTTCTCCACCTGGGAAGATGGCTCTGTAAGGACCATATCCTGATTGGATTCAGGCCATACTAAATACAGTTGATCCATTTCCTTCTCTGCATCCTGGAAACAGCTGCTCCTAAAGACCAAACTATGAGATATATAATCTGCTGTGAGATGTATAGCAAATAGTACCCACACCCTGTGGAGGCTTACAGTGGAGCCTTCTCCCTCTTTTTTCCCCTTTTCTTTTCTTTCTATCTTCTCTTGACCAAATTGTACAATCCAGTTTAGGCTCACTAGGCATCAAAGACTCACCTTGGCACTCTGTTACCATGACAGCTTCAGGGCCAGGTACACCCTCCCCGTTGTCTCCAGGGCGTGTTAGTTGAACCTTTACAAGATAGGCCGTGACAGGTCGCAGATTCACCAGGGTGATGTTCTGGATATTCTCAACTGTTGATCAAATTAACATCCATTACTCTCGTGAGAGGGACCTTGAACCACACATTTTCTGCTATGCACAAGACTCTTATCAGAACTTCTTTAATAATTCCATTCTGTATAACATTAGCTGTATAAATAAATATTCTCAAAATTGTTTCAGAACAATAATGAAAAGGGGCTGCTACATCCACCAAAGCTCTTAGGCAAGAAGAGACTGTGGTCCCATGATGTAAAAATTATAGTATGAACTTTATTCCAAATTAAAAGCCCAACATGTTTTGGATTAGCCTTTTCAGCCTTCTTCAAGGACTATATCACATGAAATAGAACAGAAAGAAAACATTTATAGCATCATTTTTTCTAGGGACAACATTTTAAGCATTTCATACAGTTGAATTATTATATTGTACAACCTCTAGTCAAATAAATTCACACACATATAAAATGTAAACATGTAAACAGCACATTCCATATTAAGAATAAAACTTCATTACATGTTATCATGAGATCAAAATACAGACTGTGAGTATTGCACTTTTGTTAGCTCTGTTTATAAAGGCTTTCTGTTTATTAAATCTGAGTCCAGCTCCCTTTGAATGAATAATGTCAAGTTCCAAGAGAGGAACATTTTCATGCATAGATAATTGCACAACTGTGTTATAAGGCCAGTCTGGTGTGTACGAAACTGATGAATAGCTAATTCCAGAGGTGTATGGAGGAGCAGTGAGATTATAAAAGGGGGATGAAATCTATCTCTTCATTCAGGCCTCCAGGAGCCAATGTATGCAACCTTGGTTACGCAGTGGTTAAACTGCAGTACTGCAACCAAAACTCTGCTCATGACCCAGGTTCAATCCTAGGTAGCCGGCTCAAGGTTCTCAGCCTTCCATCCTTCGGATATTGGTAAAGTGATTAGCCAACTAAAACCAGGCACAGAGTTAAAATAAAGGTAGAATTTGGTGAAGTTCTCACTGCAGTACAACAAAAGAGAAGAAAAGTGAACTTTGCAATTTCATCTTCCCTCACAGCCCTTTGAAAAGCTGCTTTGCAGGGCTAGGGACCCTCTGGAGCAGCATGAAAAACAATGCAAGGAACTTCAGGGGGAGACCGAAATGACAAAGATGGCTGCCCTGTTCACCTCCCAGTGCCTTCCTTGGACAGAATGAATCCTTTTTTACTTGGAACAGCTAACCAGGACCCAACCCACAGAGTTAAAAGACTCCTAGAGGAAGCAGACAGAGTGGAAAGGCAATGGCATAAGCACCCAACAACCGCTTACCTACAATGGATGACCAGGGAGAAGGACCCATTTGGGGTTTGTACAGAACCTTGGTGGAGACAATGGGTCCGTCACCTGAGGCTTGCCCAACAGGGGAGATCAAAAGCTGCTGACTCTGCTTGGCCAGGAGCCTAGGAGGGCTTAGTGGCACAGGAGGCACTATGGAAAGGAAAAGGAGGGATTTATTGAGAAGATTTTGGAACTAGCAGAAATGGATTATTTTGACAGATACACTAAATGATAGACTGGATAATTCCTGGTTCTGCAGGAATACATTAGAACCCCAATCCTGTGAAACTAACAAAACCCATCCTGGTGATTTTGCAGTTCACAGAAGCACAGCATTAATACCTCTCACAATGAGGTCTCACCTTTCACAGTGACCTTGAATTTGCCACTGTCCTGTCCCCCACTAGTAGAGACACGGCATTCCCAGAGGCCTGTGTCCAAGAGGGTGAGTGGTAGCACTTGAAATTCACAGGTCGTCTTGTCCTTTTCCATAATGGCTTTTGTAGGCTAGACAGGAGAGAAGACATGATGACATCGTATAAAAGTCTCCTGTTTAGGAACATTTATCAGGGGCATAGTTGTTTTCCTGGGACATGTCAGAGTTGGCTTCTGCCCCATCTTTGCTAGGTCCAGTGCATTGGAAACAATTATTACGCTAGGGCAGCAGGACCCAAAGAATCCTGGATATTGATTGCTTCGCTAAATTTCACCTTGACAAGAACTTATTTTGAATAGCAGCAAGCTTTGGGTAGCATATTGTTCACCTCAAGCTTCAGTCAGGCCAGGACAGTTCATTAAGCAGTGATTCTTAAGAATCCAAGGGTGCTCACACAATTAATGTAACATGTAGTTGGAACAAAGCTTGGAAAAGTTACTTTTTTGGAGACAGTACATCTCCCAATGGCCACGCTGGCTGGGGGACTTCGAGACCTGTATTGTGAAGATGTAATTTTCCCAAACTCTGAGTCTGATCCTTATTTATCCTTCTTACATGCAGCTAAAAACCTATACTTGACAACACTTAGTGTAATTAACATGAAAAAAAAAGCTATATGAACAGTATCTTACCGTGATCACTCTTCCATCAGCCTTGCGCAGTTCAATGTTGTCACGTACAGGGAGTGGGTTGCCTGTTGCTATGCAGGTAACTATGGGTTGGGAGCCTAGGTTAAACTCCAAGTGAGAGCGCAAGTCGATGATTTGGGGTATCCGGTCTTCACATAGGACATAAAGATACAGTATTAGAAATGTAGTGAAGAAGCACTATATTTGGGCAACCAAAATGTGCTCCACAGATGTGGCAGCCCCCCTGACATCCTCAGTCTGTTTTGCTTAGAAGTCCCATTTCACGCTCTGGGAACACAGAAAAAGTGGTTTTTCCACATGCACCCTTCCAGTCATTTCTCAGTGAGAAACCCTCCCACCCTAAAATATTTTGGAGCATGAGCAAAAACATGGCAAATTGTCCTCCTAAGACCACAAAAGGACTCTTTTCATTATTTAAGGGATGGGGGGGGGAGAAGGCAGGGAGACAAGGAGGTATCAGGATTATGGGGCATGGGAGGTTTCAAGTCTGGGGGGCTGTCATGTGGCAGTGGCCCACTGTTGTTCTCCAGCAGGAGTAATGTACACAACAATTCAGTAAACAGATCCTCAACCCTTTGGGTCCTCCCTGTTTGGAACTCATCTGGCATGGTGCCCAACTATGCCTAACAATTGACACTTCTCCAAGGTGGTTTTACCTGACTTTTCACAGTGTTGTCCATGCCAACCAGATGGGCAAATACAGCCACTGAACCGGTTACAGGTGCCTCCATTCTGACATTGACATTCCAGGGCACAATCAGGTCCATACATTCCAGGGGAACAAGCTGTGGGAAGAAAAGGCATTGTTGCAGAGCCTGTACTTATTGCTCAAAACTATATTTCTCTCACAGTTGGTGCTGGGGCATTGAAAAGTCAGATAATAAAATTTTAATGCACTTGGACTCAGATTTTGTTTAAAAGGCCTGAAGGCCAGGCAAGAAGGTCAATTTGCAATTGTAGTTCAGGATTTCTGCATTTTTTGTTTCATCTGTAAACACATACTGTTTGTATGAAGAACATTTTTATCCTCCAACTCAACCTTTCTATTGTGAGCTACAAATGTAAGAATGGCTTCTTCTAATTTTAATCTCACTGTAGAGATGGGTGTTCATGTGTGAGAGACAGAGATGAAGGAGGAGAGGGCAAGCTTGTTTGATTCACCAATGTGGATTTCCTCTGTCCTGTCTGTGCCCTCTGTTAGGACTGACATGTTCAGAGGGAATTCCTGTCACAATTGTGGAAAATGTTAGTTTCACTATGGCTGTGGAAATGTCCCCCTTTCACCAATTTGCTTGCTTTTTTTTTTTTTTTTGCTCAAGGATGAAATTGTTCAGCCAATGGGAGGTCTACTGTTTTGGGGAACAGATCAGTGGGAAAACAGAATGCAGGCACTGATAAAAACAGAGGAAGGAAGAAAAATCCAGCAAGGCAGCCGAGTTTAAACAAAAGGCATTCATGGCCTACAATGTTAAACAAAATTCACAAAATAACTGGATCATAGACAGTGGTTATACCTGACACTGTACCTGTGAAGGATCCCTCGCCCAGCCCTAAATCTAGATAGTGAGGTTGATGGATCAATTAAAATTGCTAATGGAAACTCTACGGACACAGCAGGAAAAAGGTCCGGAATTCTGCACTGTAGATTGCCAGATGAAATAACTCAGAACACAGCAAATGAAGTCCTGTATGTAGCTCAATTAGATTGCAACATGTTAAGTGTCTCATTGGGATAAGAAAGGTTTTTCCAGTTTTCAAGACTGGGAAATGTACAGCAGAGAAAGACAATGAGGTATAATGGTTGTTGTGGGTTTTTCGGGCTCTTTGGCTGTGTTCTGAAGGTTGTTCTTCCTAATGTTTTGCCAGTCTCTGTGGCCGGCATCTTCAGAGGACAGCACTGCCCTCTGAAAATGCTGGCCACAGAGACTGGTGAAATGTTAGGAAGAACAACCTTCAGAACACAGCCAAAGAGCCCAGAAAAACCCTCAACAACCATTAGATCCCCGCTGTGAAAGCCTTCGCGCGAATACAATGAGGTATATCTTCAAGTTTTTGAATCTTTTAGAAAATGAGTAATTTGCTTTCCAGCCATGCTCGCCTCTCTTTTGGATGCAAACAGGCAACCCGTCCCCCATGAAAAAAAGAGGAAGAAAAAAGGAAAAGAGTAACAGGTATTTCTTTGCTTTTTAAATCGTTAATCTCTTCAAGTTTTTGAATCTTTTAGAAAATGAATAATTTGCTTTCTAGCCATGCTCGCCTCTCTTTTGAATGCAAACAGGCAACCTGTCCCCCATGAAAAAAAAGAGGAAGAAAAAAAAAGAAAAGAGTAACAGGTATTTCTTTGCTTTTTAAATCGTTAATCTGCCACTATTCTGAAGCGGCTTGATCATTAAGCACATCACTATACCAGACATTCTAACTGGAAGGTGCCTTGGCAGCTCTGACAGCTGCAAGGCTTGATTTAAGTTTGTTCGCAAAGACCAGACACAGAGGAATGGACTAGACTAGAGCACAACAACCAGCCCTAGTGATACACTAAACAGAGGGAACAAATGGCTGTCTTGACAAACCCTAAGACATCTTCTGCAGTAGGCTGGGTTTGCCTCCCAATCTACAGAAACATTTCAGAGAGAGGTCATGCAAACCATCCTTGCTTTATCTTGCACAGAAATCAATACTTTGTAGTTTTACTTCAAATAATATACTCGCTCCATAAGATGCACCTTTTCATAAGACGCACCAATTTGTTAGGAGAAGAAAACAGGAAAATATAATCTGTTTTCTTCACTCTATAAGACGCACAGACTTTCCACCCCCCTGTTTTGTGGGAAAAAAGTGCGTCTTATGGTGCGAAAAATACGGTAATTTTCCCATCTGCAATACTGACATAACAAAATGCTAGTTTGAAAAAAAAGGCAGCCAGATGTGAAGGGGAAAGTGCTCCCTCCTTCTTGAAGCTGCTGGGCTTTGTCAATACAGTATCTTTGGTCAATTCCTCTTATTTTCCCTCTTGTCAGCAGTTCCCTCCCCCACCCTCAAATACCATATAACTATCATGTGCCTTTAACCTAATTTCACCTCCCACCAATCCACCTATTGATTCATTTTCATATTGTAAAACTGCACTTGGTCTTCTTAGGGCTACCTATATATTTAATTTTGAAAGGGAGGTATTGGCCCCTTTCCCTTTGGGGTTAGGGTGTGTCTGCACAGAGACGACACACAAACAAGTGTTTAATTAACATGTTAATGAATAACTTTAACTAATTTTCAAATCTAGAATCGCAAGGTTCTGTCAAAGGGCAATGCAGATCACTGGACCGCCTAGAGTGGTCTGGTGGTCCAGATAGGCAGGGTATAAATCAAATAAATAAATAATAATAATAATAAAAAGCAAGTGCAGAATGCCTTCTGTGCAAGAGAGAGTGATGCATCCCTACATTTTGGAGAGGAAAGGTATAATTTATGAACTGTTATTACATCACAGAAAAGCTGGTTGGAGAAGGGAGAGAATAATTGAACCAATTTAAAATGCAAGTGTAATTTTTTTTTTAAAAAAAAACTCTGTTATTTTATCTTTGACTCAAGGAAGAACAAAGTACTGTAAATTCTATGATTCACCTAGTCTGCTTCCCAAATCTCATATTTTCAGGGCTTTGGGATAACTTATTCACTTCAGAATACAGTATCTCACTGTCCACTTTTGGGGAAGTGGGCAAGAATAGGCTCCACAAGGATGGGGAGGGCCAGAATGAAATACTAGACGCCACAGAAAGGAAGGAGTTCCATTTAAGATTCCCTTTGCTGTGGAAATTCCTGCTCACAAGGATATGTGACAGGATTTCTGTTAGTATGTTGGGGCCAAGCAGGAGGGAAACAATTCTAAAGAAACAAAGAGAGGAAGCTATTCTCTCCTGGCCACAAGCCAGGCAGAGTCCCAACAGAAACGCAACAAAAACTGGGTAAACATAGTAAGCAAGGTTGTGTGTCTATGATGGAGACAGGGTTCTTGAGTTTGTTTGTTTGTTTGTTTTTCCACATAGAGGTTCCTCAGAAACCATGCAAGTGTTGCAACTGTTGGTAATAAATTGGTAATAAAAACAAAACTGCAAGTTCACATGAAAACCAATACAAGACAACTTGGTGAAATTTGCTTTTCTTGACACAATTCCTGTTGGCATTGTTTCTCACCTCTTGCGTTCAAACTCTTTCTTCTCATGGACTTGGCCAGTCCCTTCATTGGACATTGGAAATGTCCAATTGTCCTATTACTGTGTTTCCCCGAAAATAAGACAGGGTTTTATATTAATTTTTGCTCTAAAAATGCACTAGGACTTATTTTCAAGGGATGCTTTTTTTATGTACAACATTTATTCAAATACAGTCATGTCATCTTCTTCTGGTTGCTGCACAATGGTGGAGGGTGGGGGTTCAGTTAACTGGGGCTTATTTTTGGGGTAGGGCTTATATTATGAGCATCCTGAAAAATCATACTAGGGTTTATTTTCAGGGAAAGAGGGTAGCTACTAGATAACAGTAAACCTTCAGTGATTTCATTTAATAATTGTGGCGCTGTGGGCTAAACCTAAGGCTCAGAAGACCAGCAGTCATAAGATTGAATCCATGCAACGGAGTGAGCTCCCGTCGCTTTGTCCCAGCTCCTCGCCAACCTAGCAGTTTAAAAGCATGTAAATGCGAGCAAATAAATAGGTACCATCTCGGTGTGAAGGTAATGGTGTTCCGTGTCTAGTTGCGCTGGCCACGTGACAATGGAAACTGTCTTCGGACAAGCGCTGGCTCTATGGCTTGAAAAACGGGATGAGCACCGGCCCATAGAGTCAGACACAACTGGACTAAAAATGTCATAGGGAACCTTTACCTTTACCTTTAGGTAATATTTCATTTGAATTCTTGCTTGCATGCTGAGGCCATTTTCTAACATTTTGTTTTACTCATTTTTGTCAAGAAGCTACACACCAACTATCTTGTCCAACACTGTAGAGCCTTTATAAAGCAAGGCCCTGTTACTATTTTGAAAAATGATGACATGGATATTTGATGGTGCCAAGAATTCAGTAAAGTTTGTTTCTATGCATTTATACGTTTCATTGGCAAAAGGGAGAAAATGACACCAAGGAGTTTTAATCCTATAGATCTGAAGATAAGGAGTACCTCCAGAAATACTGGTGTTTTTTTTTAAGCACTGTTGCCATTTTACTTTCTACCATTTGGTAGTGCTGCATAACAATTGGCTATAGGAACACTTCCATACATTGGGGCAGTAATGTGTTTGAATGTTCCCATTATTTCTGCAATATTGCACTGTACCCCAACAACCCTGCTACTCTTCACCATATGCCCATACCTGTGCACAAAGATAATTGTAGATTGTGTTAGAAGACCAGTCTAGGAGTGTCCACAGGTTACCTTGTTATTCCTTTTTAATGTTAGCTCCACCCCGGATCTCATATGTTGTTCTAGCATTCAGAAGGGTCACAATCAGAACTTTGGGACTACAACTCCTAGAATGCCCTAACTAGTATGGCCACTGGGAACTTTTTGGGAGTTGTAGTCCAAATAAGCAATGTTTCCAAGGTCAGACCTCAGGGCAAGGGCAAGGAAACAATAGGTAGACATACCTGAATTGCATTGTAAGCCACTCCATCCAGCAGCACAGGAACAGCCATATGGATCAGGGAGGCAGAAGGCCAAGCCCCTGCAGCCCTGCTCATTAGGGCATCTCTCTTGGCAGTTTCGCCCAAACATGCCTTCCTTACATGCTGCAAGGCAGAAAGGATCCTGTCAGGGATCTGCTTCTACTACAGCCATCTGTTTGAGTCATGCAGTGATTGTGCCTTTGTGTTCCCACAGGGCTGTGTCACAATAATTCCCACAATAGGTTGCTCCCTTTGCTTTGATGCCAAGCTTTTCCCTGTGACTTCTGGGTTTAAGCCGAAGTCACTGTGCCTTTTCTTGAAGAGCACGAATTGATATCTCTGCAGGCCATCCACCCACAATCTCATTAGGCTTGTCTAAATCTGAGAATGCCTCCTGCTTGCACCAGAGGATTCCAAAGAGCATGGGTGTGGAACTGACAGCTCATCAGAAGGATTAAGCCCACAGACCCATCTATCCCGCAACTCTCCTTCTCTTCAGCACCATCTACAACAGGTACTATTATCAGGCTATCAAAAAAAGCTTCCTGGGGCATCAACGCATTAAAAAAAACCACCTCAGTTGCTCTCTCTGTGTAGTGGTGGGGAGTCACAGCTGTGCAGGCTTACATGCTAAAAAGGATCCACCCATAGATCATAGATCACATGGAACCCTTGGAGACCTCCACTGTCACATGCAGATTTGCCCCAGTTGCAGTTGCTGTCAAACCTCATGGCAGGTCCTTCCTGAACATTTAAGAAGACTAAAGCCAGCAATCTCATCTATAATTCTAGTCATTCGTTTCATGCTTACACAGAAAAATACAAGTCAATCAACATAGCTTCCTCAATGTACTTTCCCTAAGACACAATTGATCAGCTATAAAAATGAGTGTACTGATTTTTTCCCTGCCAAACCAGGAAACGTGGCCATAAAGAAGGAAAACTGGCGGAAATGATCCTTTCTCCATGTTCCAAGAATAGCAGCAGGACAGAGCAGAATGTCAGCTCTGCTTCCTAAAGAGACGCATCCACTTGAAGTCTGGGAACTTGTTCTGCACAAGCAGGAAGGTGTAGACCCTCTCCTGTCCCCCTTCATTTCCTAGGCAAACCACAAGAGGTCTAGCCAGTATCAGCACTGGCTGACTGGATGGCCAGTATCAAAGAAACTGGTTTTGAAGGAGCTGATTGGATTTCCACTTTTAAAGAAGAAGGAAAATGACCTTTTTGACTCCAGAACTTCGCACAAGTACTTTACATGCCTCCCATGTTACTCAACAGTGCCAAATGGATTTTGTGAAAAGACAATTCCCTAAAAATGAGCTGTCCCAGCATTTTGGGATATTAAGGGAGGGGAGTCCAAGCCAAAGTCAGGAGCTGAACATGGCAGGAAAAAACCCAAGTAGGGCATCAACACGAGACGGTGTGGCCTTTGAAAGACACCCGTTTAAGCAAAGACTTGGTTCAACATTCATTTTAGGTGGCATGAATGTAGCAGCAAGTGACCATTCCAGTTACTATTTCTGCAACTTCATCCAATAAAGTCACTCCCATCTCATGAACTGCATGGCATCTCTAACCTTTCTCGCAACGGGTGCCCATGAAACCTGGTGGGCAGATGCATTCTCCTTCAACATGGTGGCAGACGCCCCCATTCAGGCAGTCAGGGCAGTCCTTGTCACAAAAGGATCCCCATTTCTTGGCTGTGCAACCTGGAAAGACACACAGAGGGAGAAAGGTGGCCCCGGGGGGAGAAAGAGAGAGAGAGAGAGAGAGAGACGTGTAAAAATGCCCAGGTGGCATCATGGAGCTATGACCACAACACAGTCATGTTCAGACTTGAACAGCCATTAGACTCAGAGCAAATTTACACTCGTGCAGTCATGGCTCTTTGGCAGCAATCTCAAGCGATCATTTGCATATGTTAAATTGGCCCTAACATTAGACACACTGAGGCAGCTGCTTCAGGCAGAAAACTTTGGGAGCCATGGAAGGGCAGAAAGTTGTTAGTGAAGTTATTTTGCTTCTTATTACTGCAAGAAACGGGAAAATGCCTTTTGGATTTTCTGCCTCATGTGCTAAACTGATGTGGGTGATTTTGGAAACCTTATCTTGTGTATGTCCCTCAGGGGACTAATTTGCTTCTCTGCCTCAGGCATGAACAGACAAAGTTTTCATATCACAATAGAAAATAGTTTTCAAGGAAAGCTGGTGACATATTTAGGAGACAGCCATGGTGAGATAAGTAGTGTTGTACTTGTCCTTATGAGTACATAAGTGTTATACTCACTTATGGTACATAAGTATGAAACACTTATGTACCATAACAGGGGATTTAACTAGACATTTTGGGGACATCTTTGGTCTCCTCCCCCATGCATCTCCCTCATAAAAGACACACACAATAGAGATCTTGCATTTGGCACACCTCTGTTTTGGTTTGCTGACACCACCTGAAAGGTGAGGCCAATGTTGAAGGATATAATATCACATCATGAAATTCTTGTATGAGACTTGACTGGAGAGATGCATATGGTAGATATAGATTGATCACTGGCTTCCATACATGTCCCAGTAAATGTACTTCTGGGCCACTAATCGAAAGGCAATTAGGAGATGTAGAACTTGGCAAAAGCTACTTTAAGAACAACAACCCAGAACCCCTAGAATTCTCAAGTCAAATCCTATAGCTGTTTTGTCTTTTCTTCTGTACTGTGTTTTATTTTTATTTTGGTGGATATGTAGTAAAAAAGATGGAGGAAGTGGTGAGAAAACATGCGAGGGTTACAAATGGAAGTCAATGGTAACCCAGAGAAAAAAGCCATACAATTTTGTGAAAGAAGACAACTGCATAATAGAAACTTCTCAAGAAGCATCCTTGGACAAAAAGAAAGACCCCCAAAATCTTTGTTAGTTGTCCAGGAATTTAATCTGAGGGAGACCATCATGCAAATGTAGAAAAAACTGCAGCTGGGAGAATCTCCTCTTATATTTAGCACTTGAAGGCACAAAAGCCTTGTCCTCTCCTACATTTAATCTTCCCTGTAGAGAACATCAGAGCTTTTTCTTTATTACTTTCTCTGCAGAGAAAACCCTGTTCTGTTCACACAAGAAGACATGTTGGAAGGGGATTAAGTCGTTGCTTCAGCTTTGTGCTGCCTCACCTCGCACAATCAGCCTGAAGAAGGCACTTGACAAAGGACTGTCCCCTATGAATGTTGCACTATAAATCCCAGCATCGGCAATGGTCACAGATGGCAAGGTCAGAGTGGACTGACCCTCCTTCACCTCACACTGGTCCATGATGTTATGGTAGGTCCCTGGAAGAGAAACAGAAAAGGGAATATAAAAGTATGAGACCTCAAGACCTACCTCTGGAAGGTCCTCCTTGAGTTGGAGAGCTCCAGACAGAGTCGTATCTAGAAAGTAACTAGGGCTGAGTGGTTCTATGATGAGCCTTGCCTGTTCTGTATTTCTTTCTGCCTGGGGAGGAACAGCTGGCAGTGGTAGACACACCTGGAATAGGCAGGTTCATGTCCTTCCAGTAGGAAAGTTTGCACTCTCTAAATCAGTGGTTCTTAACCTTGGGTAACCCAGGTGTTCTTGAACTGCAATTCCCAGAAGCCTTCACCACCAGCTATGCTGGTTGGGGCTTCTGGGATCTGCAGTCCGAGAACACCTGGGTTACCCAAGGTTAAGAACCACTGCTCTAAATTTTAGTGTCCTGGGTCAAAACCCCAGTCAATCTTCCCTACTTATGGCTCTGGCTCAATCCACTCCAGCCTCGGCATGCAAGAGGGTCCTTTTTAAAGAGAAAGATGGGATAAAATATTTTTAAATATCATGGAATGAGAGGACCATGCTTGCTGCATCAGAGCAGGAGAACACAGAGTTTGGTGAAAGATACCTCCTTGAACTACAATTCCCATAATTCTGCAGTGAACACAAACATAACGACCAAGAATTCTAGGAGTTGTAGTTGAAAAAAAAGTAACTAGCCATTTTCTGGAAGTACCAAGAAGTACACATCAGCCCCTATCAAGCTTCTGAGGGCTTTGTGTAGATTGAATATTTTCATTTGACAAGTAGAAGTAGTCTAGGTAAGACACAAAATTTACTCACTTTCTTTCTTTTGCCACGTCCTTCTGCATGTATGACATGCTGTTTTTCATTTGTTATCTTTGTGTTGCAGCTACAGTAGCAGTAACATATAAACTCAATAGTCATATTGCAATTTTCAACTACCACTAAAATACTATTTTTGTTTGTGATGGGTCCCATTAACACCACTGTAACCTTTTTATGACTCTAATATTGAAAGATGATAAACATAATAGCTGAACAACAGCAGCAGTGCCTACAAATGTACAAATGTCTTTCTCAAAAACAAGGTGTGTTTTTGCTTCTATCATGGTGGGACCCACATTTCATAACTTATGTCTCTTCAGAGTAACTGAAATGACATAAGATGTGAAAGATCAAGAACCACTGGTGCAGCAGATCAGCATCAATGGAGCAGCAGCTCCTACAAGAGGATAGCTGGGTGTCCATGGGAAATGTGAGACTTTGGGTATTGTCTGAAGGAGAAGCAGAGATCTGGAGGCAGGGCAGATCTCACCAGGGGCATGAAGTTGGAAGGAGGGGTGCACTTGCCATTCCTTTTCCACCAGATGTCTGCATTCTTCGCATACTTGATCTTGGCGACAAGTGCAGCTGGCTGATAGAGGCTGACTGTCGTTGTCACCTTGTCTGGGATGAGGTTGGCTGCAGAGTTGGACAGAAATTGGTACTGAATTAGACAGGAGAACCTCCAATGTTTACTCCTCCTTCCTGATTGGAAGATCAGGACCTCTTCTGGATTGCCCTTTGGCTGGGAGGATACCTTAGTTCTCCTGTTGCATCCCTATCTGGGCCTCTCAGCGTATGCCTGAACACCTCATTCTGACATTTGTATGAATGCTCATGCATCAGACTGACCAAGACATTTTTGCGTCCTGAGGAGAAACAGTACATGACACCTCTCCTCCTTTCCCCATCAAACGGCATAGTACCCTAATACTTTTGGATCATGACAGAAAAATCCCAGAAGCACCTCTCCCTACCACACTGTAAAACTAAAATAATAATATAGCTAATAGATTCATAGAATAATTGAGTTGAAAGGGGCCTATAAGTCCATCAAGTTCATAGATTTGGCCTACCAATGTTCCAAGGGGAAAGGAGAAACGGTAGGATGAACTCATATGAAGCAGTGCATGTGAAGTGAAAACAGCATTGCTTTTTGGGATATTAGCTTTTTAGAATTTGAGGTGATTTTAGAATTCTGTATATTAATTCATTGTTACTCTTCTATCAAAAACCTCCCTAGGAAAATATCTCACAAATCTAGACTTTAGACTGCACCAGTAACCTTGACAAGGCATGCACCGCTTTGATTTCCAATGGTGTCTTTGTTCTGCCTCACCAGTTCAATATCCCCCTACTTCAAAGGTTGCTAAAAAAGGAAAACGTGTTTGTTGTCATTTATTTCTCTTGAGTTCTTTGCTAAGATTAACTCAAGTGATGGCTCTCTTAAGTGAATCATCCACATGCTTAAAGTGAATAAAATTCAAAGAGCAAGGTTGTGTAAGATGTCATTTGACCTTCCACCATTTCCTCTACTGGCCTGGGAATTGCAGTCCAGTAATATCCAGAAGGTCACAGTTAACATTCTTTATCACAGAGCTATAAAATTCAAAACTCTGCTTTATAGAAAACCCTGTCTTACATGTGCAGGAAACATGTAACTTGAGTTCTCCCACTTAGTGCCAGCTCACTCTATTTATTTGTGTTAGGTAAAAGGTAAAGGTTCCCCTTGACATTTAGTCAGTTGTGTCCGACTCTAGCGCATGGTGCTCATCCCTGTTTCCAAGCTGTAGAGCCAGCATTTGTCTGAAGACAGTTTCCTTTGTCACGTGGCCAGCGCGACTTAGACCCGGAATGCAGTTACCTTCCCACCGAGGTGGTCCCTATTTATCTACTCGCATTTGCATGCTTTCAAACTGCTAGGTTGGCGAGGAGCTGGGACAAAGCGACAGGAGCTCACTCTGTCACGTGGATTCAGTCTTATGACTGCTGGGCTTCTAACCCTGCACCACAGAGGCTTCTGGGGTTTAGCCCGCAGCACCACCACATCCCTCATTTGTGTTACCATTTCCCAATTTAGTGCCTTCCAGATGTGTCTGATTACAAATCCCATCATCCCCACCTTACACCCAGAAGTCCTGGTGCAACAGGTCTGAGACATGCAAAGTGGAACTAGAGGCATTTAGAGAGGAAGGTACTTAAAGTTCAAATGCCATACTGAAAGTTCATGTCCCCAAATCCTATTAGTTACACTTGCCGGTGAAAAAGTTGGCATGGGCATTTGCTGTTTGTGCCAAGTCACGTGATTTGATGGACAACAACAAATGCCTATGCTAAATTTCTAACTCTGAACACTTTGGCAATGAAATTGAAATCAACTGCATTGCACTAGCATAAAAATTGAATAGGATTTTCTTCATGGTAATTAAATTGTAAATGGCTTTAATACGATTCTGATCAGTGACTGGAGATACAAACATACAGTACTTTTCTGCTTAGCAGATGCTAAGAGCCTTTTCCCCTATCCTAGCTTGGAAGCAGAGGCTGCAAACGGCAATGGTCTCCCCTACCCCAATACAGTCCAGCTAATCAGCCAGAAACTGAGGAGGGTGGAGTGAAGGTTGCACAATTCACAGTCAAGGAGCCAATGGCTGTCAGTTGTGAATCCCTGTTTTATAGTATTTGAGGACAGGTCTGACACTGGTAAACATTTGTTGGCTTTAGGGAGTGAAGGAATGTGCCACTCTTTCTAGTAAGATTAATTGCCCTGATGTCATGAATGGTGGCAGGGACAGGCATTATGAGGCTCAGACATACTGTACCACTAGTACATCAAGCCTCTTCACCCTGCTCTTCCTTGTTCTGTGTCCATCTACTTTTCCCAAGTTATCAAGCAGAGAGAAAGGCAAGGCAAATGTGCAGTGACCTCCGCATGGTGTATAAGGGGAGAAGGTGCCAGAGAAAGAGGCAAATTAAGGGGCAGTGACACCTGTGGCAGCTAGAGAGAGAATATTTGTGTCAGGACCTCCTTTCCTAAAACATGGCGCCTGAAGTAGCTCCAGATTTTGCATGTGACAGCTGTAAATCAATCTGCAGGGTTAAAAATTAAGGGAAGACCTGAAGATTAAAGACTGGCTGATCCTTTTTATATTGTTCCTGGAGCTGGTGTGTATGTAAATAGGCTGACAAAATGATCCCACAGTCTGGATCTGGGTTTGTGCAGAAACAGAGGGAGGACTTGATTGCATCAACCCTGGTCTTATCACAATCAGTGAGAAAGTAAGCACTGAGACATACTAATTTCAAAATACTGTAGGCGTCTCTCCCATTATACAGAATGATATGGAGGTGTTTGCCTTTAGATGCCCTGTATCTGTATGCCTTTTCATGTACACCTTTTTTAAAAAAACACTTACCATAAATGTTGTTGTGTACATACACCACTCTGGTTTGTTCTGATTGGGTCTTCCCCAAACAGTATATGATACCCACAAGTTCTGCCCGGGAGAAGCCTCGTATCTGCACCTCATTGCTGCTGTTCTTGTAGACCTGGAACTTGGATTTGGGATGGGTCATGACAATTCTGTTTTCTCTTTCAACCAGGAGGCTGGCATTCCGCTCACTTGTCACACAGGAAAGGTAGAAACTTGTGTGAGAGTGGCTCAGAACGTTGGCAATGAGGGTGATATCCAGAATTGCTCCTGCATGAGAAGAAGCAGAGAAGGAAAGGGATGATGTTGTGTATTGGGAGAGCAAACATGAGCATAATTCACCTGATACAAGTCATACTGAGCAGGTTCTGTAGTGGCTCTAGAAGGAGAGCCAAGGCCTTCCAGAAGTTGCTAGAATCCAATCCTTATCGTTGGCTGTAATGACGGAGCCTTCTCAGTTTTGCATTCCAATAATACATACAGGCCCGAAACTGCCAATCTCAGCTCTAGAGTGTAAGAAAAAATATTTGGCTCATTCCTAGAAAAGATAAAGTATTTTGCTTTTAAGTGGAACAGATCCTAGCAAGACTAAGAAAAGTTACTTTTTGAGATTACACATTCCAGAATCTCCCATCTAGCATAGCTAGTGCCATGGCCTGCTACTGAGGGAATCAAGGGAAGTCTCATCTAAATAATATAACATTTTCAAGTGCTGTCTCTTTCTCAAACATCCAAGTGTCAGAAATGTCATGTTTGAAAAATTGGGTTCAGCACTAATTCCTACTGCTGGTTACTGTTCCTCTTTGTCTGTAGTGACTTCATACCATCAGCCTGTGTATTGATACATGGTGTGGAGTTACCAGGTCTCAGGATGCTGGCTCATGTCTCAGGGAATTGTTTTGCATCCCCAGGTCTTCAGGCAAGAAGAAAAACATAGGGTGAGCATTGCTGGAGGAAAAGAATGTGTAATGTTGATGTACTGTATGAGGTGGCTTTAAAACAACTCTCCACATTTCTTGGTGGCACTAGGCCTGTTTGGGTCAGCATGAAAGACATGGTATGTGTGTTGTACTTTTGCAATGTTGGTACAGCAAACAGCTAGGAAGGAGGGGAAGGACTGGGGAGAGAGCCTGCATGCACTTGGACCAAGTAGCAGCTGGTGACTCCAGTTTCGGAGCTGCTGTGAATCCACTCTAGGTTTTAGTTTGCATGATGCAGGAGTTATCCAAAATAAGTGGACCTGTTTTGCGGATAGGGTTCAGCATACTCTATTGCAGTCTGATGACTAAAATGTTCTGACCGTCTCAACCCTTTCCTGCAGTGTCTTTATGACACAAGGAGCTGAGTCACACCTCAGGAGTTGGCCCTGAAATCTCAGGGAACAGAATGCTGGTGATTTAACAACCTTATGGACACAACTTTCCAGTAATAGGGGTAGAATCATAGAATAGTGAAGTTGGAAGGGGCCTATCAGCAATCAAGTCCAACCCCCAGCTTGATGCAGGAATACAGATCGAACAAGTCCTGCCAGGTGGTTGTCTAAATTTCTCTTGAACGCCTCCAATGTTGGAGCACTCACCACCGCTCAAGGCAACTGGCTCCACTGTCGTACTGCTTTAACAGTTAGGAATGTTTTCCTGATATTCAACCGAAATCTGGTTTCCTGTAACTTGAGCCCATTGTTGCATGTCTTGCACTCTGGGATGATCGAGAAAAGATCTTGCCCCTCCTCTGTATGGCAGCCATTCATGTATTTGAAAAATGCCATCATATCACCCCTCTGTCTTCTTTTCTCAAGGATAAACATGCCCAATTCTTTCAGTCTTTCCTCATAGGTTTCCAGCCCCCTGATCATCTTGTTGCCCTCCTCTGAATTTGTTCCAATTTGTCAGCATCTTTCTTGAAGTGTGGTGTCTAGAATTGGACACAATACTTAAAGAGAGGCCCAACCAGTGCTGAATAGAGGGGAACTAGCACCTCACTGGATTTGGAAACTATATTGTACTTCTGTTAATCTAGCCTAATATCGCATTTGCCTTTTTTTGTAGCAACATCACAGTGTTGGTTCATATTCAGCTTTTGATTTAGAAGAATTCCAAGATCCTTCTCATGTGTAGTATTGCTGAGCCAGGTATCTCCCATCTTGTAACTGTGCATTTGATTTCTTTTTCCTAGGTGCAGTTTTTCCCCTGTTGAATTCATTCTGTTGTTTTCAGCCCAGTGCTGAAGCCTATCAGGATCATTCTGAATTTAGTTTATGTCTTCCAGGGTAGTAGCTATTCCATAAACCACGTCAGTTTATCTCATAGCATAGTCAAATATGTGGCATGTGAGCCATCCTCTTTAGAAAAGCCTGGGGAGATTCTCTACTGGTGACGTTAAGCAGACAAAGTCATAATACAGATGGTGAAGATAAAGTAGGAAAGAGGAGATTATATTTCTATAGCATAAAGACATGCAATAGAATGCTACATGCCATCAGATTATGAAGAACTCTACGAACCCAGCATCATGGGATGATGGAGACTATTAAGAAAACTGGAAGAAGTGATGGGATTTAGCACATCATGATGCAGTATGGCATGTACACCCACATTTGATGAGGTGGTCTATGGTCCGCAAAGACTCACAGTAGAGTAAATATGTTAAGTCTTTAAAGTGCCACAGGATTCTGTTGCTTTTACCACAGCAGAACGGCATAGCCACTCTTTTTTGGGGAAAAAAATCTGTTATAGGCTTTCCTTGGTATCATATCCATTATTTTATGATAACTAATGTGGATGTTTTATTCGTATAGCAACAACTAGGTTTGTACTTTGAATAAGTACATTATGGGTCTGTGAGAGGGTGACAGCAGCACAGGTGCCCTGGTCAGTGGGCTATCCCACCTTCACCCAGGATCCACCAAGTTCCAGACCATGAATTCACCAGTGGTTCTGGGGAGCATTGGGTTAGCCGAGTCTTCAGGGGAACCCAGACAACAGGAGGAGGGACCCAGACTGAAGTCCTTGGAGGGGTGGCAGTGGCTGAATGCCCAGTGATGGATGAGCGTCCACTAGAGGGGAAAGGGGGCCCTTGGGAGGAAGAGGATACAAGGGACGCACTGAAGGCAGAGACCCAAATACCAGCCAGTGGAGGAAAAGAGAAGGGGGAGCAGCACATGCAGATGGGAGACCTGCTCTCAAGTGTGATAATTGAGGAGGAGGAGCTGGAAGAGGAGGGTTCCCATGGGAGGGAATGTCTTAGAGAACCTGGTTGAAGGATTCCATGTGGAAGAAGATCCCTGCCCCAGAAGAACCGCAGCTGTCTCAGTACTTGGAATACATATTGGCATTAAACTAGTTTAAAATGATATGTCACCAGATATCAGTAATTCATATATGTGTTCCTTGATAGAAAGGGAAATGAGTAACAGATGGATGGTGGGAAGTGTTGATCCTGAATGGAAAAATTCTTGAGTTGTGAATCATGATATATTTTGCAAAATTACTGTTAAAACATTTGATGTTCTGTATTCTGAGACTGTGAAGTGCCTTTCCATGTTATTTTTCTGTAGAAAGATTTTTCAGAAATGTAGTAGTCTGAAAAGCTTTAAATGAGAAAGCAGCTTTGCAGCAAACCACCCAGGGGAAACTATTATCATGATATATTTTGCAAAATTACTGTTAAAACATTTGATGTTCTGTATTCTGAGACTGTGAAGTGCCTTTCCATGTTATTTTTCTGTAGAAAGATTTTTCAGAAATGTAGTAGTCTGAAAAGCTTTAAATGAGAAAGCAGCTTTGCAGCAAACCACCCAGGGGAAACTATTTATATATATAATGAGAAAGCAGCTTTACAGCAAACCATATGACATCACACCCACCCAGGGGAAACTATATATATATATATATTTAAAAAGTGGCTTGGGGGAAGAAAAGCTTTGTGGAGACAGATGAGTGCTGGTGTTGCTTGTGTGCGTATGTGTGTGTGCATGCACACTCAAGCGTGTCCTCCTTCAAGAGGCAAAGTCATTGAAACACAGCACCTACAGATATGCCCCTTGCCCTCCCATCTTTACAAGAATGTATCAGCTAGCCACATATCTAATACTGTATTCCTCAACCTCTCAAATTTTCTGGGTCCACATGGGGATGTATGGTTATTACTAGATTGCTTTAAATTATTACTATTATTGCTGAGATGAAACTGCAGAGAGGTAGCAATTTAATTCTAGTGGCAGTACTGAAAGTAAAATTGCACAAACCCTTTTCTTGTGTCTTTTCCCTATATATCCCTAATTCCATGCATACATCCTCTGCAATTTGCTGTACAGAGGGGAAAGGGTAAGAGCAGCTGGCTGTGAGTGTTAAACTAAATGTAGAATGAATGAAATGGTGCAGCAAGGCAAGGGTTTAAACAATTGCCTCCCAATTCTGCAGCGACTAGCAAGTTGACATCTCTATGACTGTTATTCATATTTACACTCAAATATTGCTCATCAAATCATTGCAACCAAAATCTTTCACTGTGTTTCCATGCACATATGAAATCTACAACCTAAAGCAGCAATATATAGTTTAAAATTCTAAGAACCGCATAATAGTCTATCTCCCACAGTTTAGAAACTCATTACAAATGATTTACAATGGCTATAAATTATAACACTTAGACAAAACCAAAAACAGGTTCATTCAAAATGTGGTCGAGAAGAGTTACATGGGCATCACAGCCAGCCAGAAAGACAACTAAAATGGTTCTGGGTCGAGAAAGCATAAACTCTCACTAGAAGCTGAAACAACTGAACTGAGGCTGTCATACCTGGGTAAATCATTAGAAGGCAAGACACACAAGAAAAGAAAAGAAAATAATGAGAAAATTGGAAGGCAGCAGGAAAAGAGGACAACCTAGCCTGAGATGGACTGAGTATCAATAAAGGAATCCACAGCTTTTATTCTGAAGTAAGACATGAGCAGGTCTGTTAAAAATAGAACAGATGGATGTAATTGATTTATAGTGTCAGCATTAGTGAGAAATTATTTGAAGGGATAGAACAACATGCAGTCTAATAATACAAAATCTATATAAAGTCACAGCAAATTGAAAGATATCTCACAACCAGAGGAAAAAACATTGATATCAACAATTTCTACTACTTCCATTACGTCAGTCATTTCTATTCTTTCCCCACTTCCTTGAAAAACAAAAATCCCAACCCATCAATACCAGGTTTTGGAAATCATGGCTCGCCAGATTTTGGGAGACCAACTCCACCTACCCTTCACCAACATGGAACATGAAAAAACAAGTCATGAGGAAAAAAATGAAACATTCTATTACCTTGTATGAAAGAAATATATGGTTAAAAACTACTTTTGGTTTCAAAAGGCATTGTGTTGCACAGTGGGATTATGATTACTGATTTTAATAGCTTTGTACAAATGAACTTCTTTTTGCAGCTTTTGGGTCTGTTAACATTCTGACCTGTATTTGACCAAATACCTTATTTTATCTAGTTTGAACCATCTAATATAGGATGACAATTTATTGGCTCTTAAATATTTTACACTGTATAAATCTATTCCAGCCACAAAAATATGTCAGTGTTCTGGATTCTGTACTTTTTGAATATTTTATATTATTAATAAGAGACTACAAATTTAATGTAATGCACCTAAATCTATTCTTGATGCTTGATTTGTTGAGTTTTCTACTCCTAGTACCACAGGAAGTTCTTATCTAATACAGAAAAATAATATTATTCTTTTATCTCTGTACACATAACGTCTAGTTTGGAAACAGAACTAATTCACTCAGCAAACTATTTATCCATGCATTTTTCTGAGTTCTGAGGGTATTTTGAAGGTAGTTCTAATGATCTACAAATATGACAAAATTCCTTTATGGTAAACATGCCTCCTTCTGAACACCTTGCATTAAAATAAATATGTGCAGTTGCCATGTGTCAATTTACCCACATCAAGTCCCCTTTTTGATTTTTGAGAAGCCTTCAGCTCTCCTTTAGCATCATCCAATTCTTTATAATAGCAACAAATAAAAGGTTAATTTAAAATAAAATAAACCCCTCAAAAGCCTAGTAAAACATTTCAAATTAATTTTGTGGTATAAATATTGAAACAATTGCTTTATTTGCTAAAAATGTGTGTTGTTATGAAAATCTCATAGCGTTGCACACTATCCTTGGATATTCTTCAAACACTGCTCCAGGTGGTGGGGCGGGACGCGCGCGCGCACACACACACACACACACACACACACACACACACGCACACACACACACACACACACACACACCCCAGTTTGGGAACTAATGATCCACTTATAGGCATATAGGCTTGCATTCAAATACCCAGGTGGAGCAGGGCTATAAATCATATCTTTGTGCCCTCTTTGTGTTGCACATGTACTCCTTTTTTTCACTGCATAGGTTGTTTATGATGTACTGTATATCCATAGCACTGTCTCCATTGGGAGAAGGGATTTACTGGATACAATAATGTTTCAAAAAGTTGCAAAACTTTATAATATAATATAATATAATATAATATAATATAATATAATATAATATAATATAATA